GTGGGAGCCGTACCCCAGTGAGAGCCAGTGTGTGTGGGTGGGACACCGTACCCCAGTGAGAGTCAGTGTGTTTGTGGGACCCCGTACCCCAGTGAGAGTCAGTGTGTATGGGACCCCATACCCCAGTGAGAGTCAGTGTGTGTGTGGGACCCCGTACCCCAGTGAGAGTCAGTGTGTGTGGGACCCCGTACCCCAGTGAGGGTCAGTATGTGTGTGGGATCCAGTCCTGGGAGGTACAGAAATTTCCTGAACAGAAAACAAAATGTGTTTTATAAAGAATATTTGATCATTTTCACCGATCATAACATGTTGTAACTGAAAGGCAGGAAAAGCCCTCAAGAGCAGGAGTCTTTCATTTTCAAGACTTTTCTTGCTGATTTTCTGCATCATTATGAATTCTGGTATGAAGCTTTCACTTCAGCAAATCTCCCAATTCTGAACATTGTGTGCACAGGGATTCCAACAGTTTTGCCCCTTGTACATGTAGCTTCGGAGGAAGTGGCCCATCATTCCCCCCCTCTACCTGAGGACCATCAGTAGATGTGTGAATGAGGTCATGAGCTCCAGTCACTGGTCAAAGTTTGACTTTGTCATTTCAATCCTCAGAACGTTCAGAATGGTCATTGGATAAGGAGCTACATTAATCTGCTGTTCACTCGGCTCTACAATTAGTTACAAGCCAGCAGGTATAAAAGAGGAGTAACAAGCAGCAACCATTCAGGGTCCTGCTATAATTCAAGAGAAATATGTTTAAAATATGAAACAAAAACATCCACATGACCAGGATCCATTCCACTGACTACATCACCACAAACTGACTCCTCTCTCACTCGTTAAGACCTGTTGCTGAAAGCACCATCCTTTCAACCCCCAGTACCTCCACAGCCCATGGTCATTATCCCAACACTCAAACCCCTGTTCTCTGCTCCACGAGGTATATTACCCCTATCTACTTGGATATTCCCCTCAGGTACTTGCCTGCCCTGGTATTAGCCAATCAGTGTACCTTACTGTGCTAACTGTCTGTCCCCTCAGTACTTGGTACAGTGCCTTCAGTTTGAGACAAGGCCCCCCCATCGAGTCTTCAGGCAGGAAGACTGCAGATGGAGCTGGTCCCTGGTGCAGGTTGTGTTAAATTGCTGTTTACTTTGGGGGCAGGGTGGGAAGCGGTGGAGACAGCAGTTTGGATAGGGCCCCAGATGTCCCAAAAGTGCACTTCAGAGCCAATCAAACACTGTAAAAATCACAGCTGTATTGCAGGAAGGTAAGCAGCTGACTGGTACTAAGTGATATCCCACAAACAGCTTCACGGCAATTAAAAAAAACAATCCAAGCAGATGTTGGTGTGGAGTTAAATATTTTTCCAGGACACTAAGCTCAACAGACAGTGAGGAGGGATCTTCATTTAACACCTCTTCAAAATGATGCACTTTCAGCAGCGCTCCCTCAGCACTGATCCTCCGACAGTGCGGCACTCCCTCAGTACTGACCCTCCGACAGTGCGGCACTCCCTCAGCGCTGACCCTCCGACA